GTGACCCCTGAGTGACCCCTGAGTGACCCCTGAGTGACCCTGAGTGACCTCTCTGTCCACAGGTGTCCCCTCCCCAGCAGCCGCTGGCCGTGGCCGTGGTCACTCTGATGGCCGAAGTTGCCATCGCTGTGGCCGGAGGGGTCGCCCTGGGGGCTCACGCCGCCTTCTGCGGCCAGGAGTGACCCCTGAGTGACCACTGAGTGACCCTGAGTGACCCTGAGTGACCCTGAGTGACCCCTGAGTGACCTCTGAGTGACCCCTGAGTGACCACTGAGTGACCCTGAGTGACCCTGAGTGACCCCTGAGTGACCCCTGAGTGACCCCTGAGTGACCCTGAGTGCCCCCTGAGTGACCCCTGAGTGACCCTGAGTGACCCCTGAGTGACCCCTGAGTGACCCCTGAGTGACCCTGAGTGACCCCTGAGTGACCCCTGAGTGACCCTGAGTGACCCCTGAGTGACCCCGAGTGACCCCTGAGTGACCCTGAGTGACCCTGAGTGACCCCTGAGTGACCCTGAGTGACCCCTGAGTGACCCTGAGTGACCCCTGAGTGACCCTGAGTGACCCTGAGTGACCCTGAGTGACCCTGAGTGACCCCTGAGTGACCCTGAGTGACCCTGAGTGACCCCTGAGTGACCCTGAGTGACCCCTGAGTGACCCTGAGTGACCTCTGAGTGACCACTGAGTGACCCCTGAGTGACCCTGAGTGACCCTGAGTGACCACAAGGAGCGGTCACTGTGTGACCCCTGACCCGACCTGGGCAGGTTTTCCATTAAAAAAGGAAATTTTTGGTTTTTTTCATTGATTTTTTAATTCTTCTTCTTCTCGTCGTTCATCAATTAGAGGTGAATTAATGATTCATTAGGGTGAATTAATTAGAGAGGTGATTAATGGGTGAAAAACGGGATTTTTGGAGGCAAAAAGGAGGAATTTTGATTCCAAAAATTGCTTTATTCTGAGGGTAAAAAGTGGATTTTGAGGTTAAAAAAAGGTGAATTCTGAAGTAAAAAAAAACGGTGACTTTTTAGACCAAAAAAGGTCAATTCTAAAATAAAAAAAACCAATAAGTTTTGAGGTAAAAATGGTCAATAGCGAATTTAAAAAATCGTGAGTTTTGAGGGGAACGTTGTTCGTTTTGAGGTTAAAAATCGCCAAATTTGAGGTAAAAAAAATCCTCAAATCTGAGGGAAAAGATACCGAATTCGAAGCAAAGCAATCGATTTTTATTAAAAATACTCGATTTCTACCCAGAAACTCGAATTTAAGGGTAAAATTCGACATTTTTGGGTCCAAACCCGGCGATTTGGAGAGGGGAAAACCGCGGTGATTGTGAGGCGGAAAGTCCGGATTTGTGAGGTAAAAACTTGGGAATTCTGAGGGGAAAAATCGCCGAGTTTGCAGCTAAAACGTCGATTGTTATTTAAAACCTTGGATTCTCACCCGAACCGCGGTTTCGGAGGCGTTTTGGGGTAAAATCGGCCGATTTTGGGTCTTTTCCAGTTTCCAGTTTGGGTCGCTTTCCCGCCGCAGTAAAAACCGAGGATTTCTGAGGGAAAAACGGAATTTTCCGGGAAAACAATCGCGAAACAATCGCTGAGCACAGAAAGTCGCGGATTTTAGGGTCAAACGTGATGAATTTTTGAGGTGAAAAGCCGCGAATTCTGAAGTAAAAATCCCCGAATTTGCGGCTAAAATCTTCGGTTCTCACGCAAACCGCGATTTTCACGGGGAAAATTTGATATTTTTGGGTGAAAATCGGCCGATTGCGGGGGGGGAAAACCCGGTGATTGTGAGGCGAAAAGTCGGGATTTGTGAGGTAAAAACTTGCGAATTCTGAGGTGAAAATCGCCGATTTTTCAGCCGCCTAAAACACCGATGAATATTTCAAAGCTTCGATTGTCGCCCCAAAGCCGCAACTTCCGCGGCGCTTTTGAGGTAAAACCGGCCGGTTTTGGGGCCTCACCAGTCTCGGACTCGCTTTCCCAGCGTTCCCTGCGGGGCAAAGAGGAAGAGGATGGAGCGGGAAGTGTGACGTAACCGCGCCGCTTCCGCTTCCGCCTTTCGCCGCTTCCTGCCCGGCGGCTCCGTGCGCGCGGCGAGTTCGGTGCGGGGGGAGGGGGCGGAATTCGGGGTGGGGGAGGGGCCCG